TGAAAAAAAAACTATTAAATCTTAATTTTGAATTTGATAGTTTAAAACTAGGATTATATGTAATTCTCCCAACTTAAAAGGTGCAGGGCCCATTATTTAGCGGCTCCTGACCGAACCAAACAATATGGGCCAGCCCTTCACGAGAAAAGACCGCTTAGGAAATTAGGGTTTTGAACTCTAAACATACCAGCAAGAATAAATAGTTCCGTTCCCTTACGATCTGTAGAATCGGCGCCAACAGGGAGAGCTAACATGAGAGCTAAGGTTAGCGGAAATTTCACATTTATTTTCAATCCATTCACTCTTAGTAATTATTCCCTTTTTTTGCTTTAATTTTGTTGGAAATTACCTGTTACACGTTCCTCTTAATGCACATTCACGATCAATTACGCCTTTTTTGTTTTTGTTTTTGTTTTTGTAGTGTAATTAACGATTTCCTAGGGTTTTATTAATACTTTTTCTTACCGTGATCCGTTTCTACTTGTAATTTCTTAAGGCTGGTTTATGGTTTTATTGATTAATTGGGTTAGAACGTTCTTGTTCTAGTTGTACTGTGGCCATTTCATGAATTTGTTTTGCCAAACTTGCGTGTGAATCGGTTTGTTGTTCTATATGATGTTAGATAATTCTAATAGCTAGTGAATACAGTCTATTTTATATCCTATACTATAGAGAACATATTTAGATTTGATTATTGCAAGTGCTTTTAGATTATTGACGCTCTCTTGATCTATGTACTAATTTGGCTAGCATTTCCACTGTCAATCTAAAATAAGGTCTTTACTGGAAAAGAAGGAAGTAAAAAGGAGAGCCAATTTAAGAACATGTTTCACCTTGAAACTAGGTTTAACAAGATGGAAAATTGTTTAGTGCAGCAGATTAAATTTTGAGTTGTGAACACTGATAATGTGGTTGGTTAGCTCAAAAGATTGTAAATTCTGTGATAGGGAACGGTAGGATAATGTTTTGTCATGTGCTGGATCTCTTATAGCTTTAGCCTTTTGTGGATACTAAGTCAAGTTTTCATTCATTTTATAGTGGAAGAAGAAGCGGATGAGGAGGTTGAAGAGGAAGCGCCGAAAGATGAGACAAAGATCTAAGTAGAGGTGGATAGTAGTAGTGGATTGTGAGATGGCTTCTTTTGATGAACCCATTTCTTCTTCACTGGCTGCCTGACAACCAAGAAGAGTGGAAGAAAGTTCTGTAGATGGGGCTGTCTTGTTGTCTATCTGTTCCTACTCCGTATTCTCTTTTCATCTAACTTTGTGGAAGTTTAGGTTAACTTGCGGGTTTTTACTCTGCTTTCATGTTACCGAATTAAAAGAGCACTTGACATTGTATTAAATCCGTTTATGAATGGATGCGTGGGCCTTTTTGGATATCATTTGTGGCTTCATTCTTTCATTTCATTCATTTTTAGGCCAGTGTTCTAATTTCTGATATTCTGCTGTGATTGTGTCCTACTATTTTTCTTCGTTCTTCCCTTCTCCTGTTAGTGATTGTTTTGACTATATAGATATAAGAGATTGGAAGAAGCTACTATGGTAAAACCGTAAAATGAGTGTCAACACTGCAAATCCTTTGCGTTAAAACAATTAACTGAACCAGAAATGATAATAGAATATCGTTGTACAAATCTCTTCATCTAGCCAGCCACATTTGCAGTCATAGCAATACCATGATATGAATCCAGTGTAATCACTTGCTTCCTCTCCCCAGGTTGCTTCTGCATTCGAATTTAAAGGTCGTATTGCATAGTGATCCTTTCTACTGTATTCCGACTCATGACTTGTTTTAGATGCAGCGCCTTCAAAACTGCTGCTGCCAGTTCCTTTTCTTCTTCATGAATGATCCCTTCCACTAAAATCGTATAAGTTGTCTCGTTAGGCATATAGCCCTTCTCAATCATTGTCTCGAACACTTCCAGAGACAAGTCTGTTCTATGACATTTGCATAAACCAAGCACAAGTGCATTGACATTGTCAACATCAGGCTGGTAGCCACTTTCTTCCATCACCCTAAATACATCCATGGCAGCACCCAACATTCTCTCCATGCACAAACCTCTTATCAAAGACGAATATGTGTATGAGTCGGGATCAAATCCAGATTCTGTGATCTCATACAAAAGCTGAAACGCTGGATAAGTGTTGCCTTTCCTACTTAAACTTGAGATGACATTTCTGTAGAAATCATGAATAGAGGACTCCTGTTTATTTCTCAAACTTTGGATAATTGAAAAGGCCTTTTGTACCATTCCCCCCTTGCATAGCACAGCAACAGCATTATATGTTCCCTCATTCGGACTACAATGCCGATAAATCATTTGGTCAAGACACTTAACTACATCTTCTACCTTTCTCTCCTTGCAAAGACTAGCAAGAATCGGGTTATAGCTAGCAGCAGTGATTTTGAACTGTCCATCTATATATAGCCCATCCACTACTTTGAGTGCTTGATCTGTTCGCCCATGAAGCGCAAGAGAATCAATCAATATATTATACGTGACAACAGATGGCTCACGTTCATCTCCAACCATCTCTGCAAGAAATTCATTTGCCTCCTCCCAACGCCCTTCATTGCACAGGCTCCTCAACAATATATTGTAGCTGACAACATTAGGATTAAACCCCTTCAATGGCAAATCTCTAAAAAGTTGTATTCCCTCGTCAATTCTACCTTCCTTGCACAATCCAGTCAATATAACATTGTAACTAACCAAATTAGGATTTCCACACTTAGCAATTATGTCATCCAGCAACCTCCTTGCTTCATCAACCCCTCTTTCCTTATAAGCAGCCTCTAGCAAGATCGAATAAGTATATTCATTTGGGACCAGCCCCCTTAGCATTAATCTCTCTACAAATTGCAGGTTCTGAGTCAAGTTTCCACGCATACATAGCCCTCTAACAAGAGAATTATAAGTCATGGTATTGGTTGGATACCCACATTCCTCCATTTTTTCGACTAATTGCATCGCATGGCCTACATTTCCTCTCTTACACAAATTATTCACCAAGAAAGTGTAGGAAGCTGCATCCGGGATAGTACCTGACCGGACCATCATCTCCATAACTCTAGTAGCTTTTCTAAGCTTATTTGACTTGCTAAGATCGTACAATAACTGAGTGGCATTGGCTACATCAGGCTTGTGACCCTTCCTTATCATGTACTCCAAATACAAAAATGCATCATTTAGCTTAATATCCCTGGTTCTTGGGCAATTCCTACCATACCTCCAGTTGGGAAGGGTGAAAACACTGTCCATTGGAGCACTAGTCAGGTGGGTTGAGGACCAAAGTTTAGGAAAACCATTATTGAAAGGAAAAGATTGGACTTTTGGTGTATGGTCAAAGAATCTATGTGGTTTTGTTATTGGAGACACTGTACGTAAGAGAATCGCCATAAATTCAAGAAAATTTACGATTTCCTAAACCTGGAGTATCAGAAGAACAAAACTCAAAAACCAAGATTCTGGGTTAATTCCGAATCCAATTGATAAGTGGATCAATAATCAGATAAGGTAAAACAAGAACGATTGACTTTTCATCCTTTAAATGTATATTTTCAATTTGTTTATTTTTTAATAGTTTTCAAAACTTGGCACTTCTTCCGCCAGTCGTGTCCACCTCTCCGTGTTATCCTAAAGTCTAAGAATAGCAATTCTGATATGCTGCGCTTTCACTGTTGAGTTTTGAGTTGTATAGCCTCTAAAATAACAACTCCATTATTTTTGTGGGCCCAAAAAATAGATTGGTTGGATCGTTGGGGTAAAGTGGATTAAATATACCATGGGAAAAAAAAAAACGGTTTTGCTATGGGTACATCGGGATGTACATCGGGGTGTACATCCCCCTCACATGGGGATGGGTCCCGCTAAAATAAAAAAATATTTTACATAGTGGGGTCCACTCCCATGTGAGGGAGATGTACACCCTTATGTATGGAGGTTGATGTACAAGTAGAATTATTGAAAAAAAAAATCATACCTACCTCGTTTAAAATTACAGTTACAAAACATCAAAATTTAAAAAGTTTTCATAAATCAAGTCATATTTCACGATTTTTTTTTTCTTAAATTGATATGAATTGATTTGTATAAGATAACGTGTCAACAATTCAAATGACTGTTGAACTTTGCACAATATTTTTCACTGATAATTAATATTTAAAAGTTTTTCGGATGGTCGTTGTACTTGTAAAATGTTTATCCTATTGGCCATTATACTTTTTAAGTTTCGTATAATCATTAAACTTATTAAATTGTTATCCTAATAATTCCCCAATGTGATCCCATTACTATCCTAACCTATGATCTCTAAACAATCCATTATGATTTTATAAGGTTGCTCTCTTTCACAAGGTGTGATCGTTTTATTATTTTGAGATCATAAAACCATATGATCGATATCTTGAGATCATAAAACTTTACGATTGAACACACGATATCACTCAATTTATTCTTTTAGGACCATAGAATCCTAAGATAGAACGATGCAAATCGCAATTTTAACCACCTTGTGTCGATGTTCTTGTTGAGTGGCTATAATAAGATTTTATTACTTTCGAAATCAAACAGAAATGACATTATGACTCAATTAGTCCAGTGGAACAGGTATACATGAGTATGGCAAAATATAAATAATGAAGCTTATTATATGCATTATAGTAACAAACGCCTTTCCCACAACCTTGAAAAACCTTGGCAACATGGGCAAAGACTATCTGCAACTGTACATTTCTAACCTCTAAATCCCCATTTACTAACAGGGATGCATAGCAGAGCATCAAAATAAGCCCCGAAGTTAAAATACTGAAAACACATTTCGCCGATGGCCTACTTAAAAACTTCCACCATCGTGCCAGGACTGATATACCTTTATCTTGAAAAGATGTAAAAAGAAAAGCTGAAACGAACTGATATGTCAAAACCATATCTTTGTCTACAGAGTATTCTGCAATTTACTTCATTTCACAGTGGAATGGGCACCACAATACTATCAAGAGCCACCACTCCCTCCGCCCTGACCCCCAAGACCCAACATGGGCATGGACCGCTGTGCGAATTCCAGCAACAGTTTTCTCTGAGGCTCACTTGTATGAGGAAGACTAGCTCGTAAGAGCTCAACCGGCATCTCTCTACTGATGGCTCTGGTTGCATCAGACCCAAGAGTAGCTGTCTCTGGTGAGGCTTGGGCGAGGAAGGATTGCATAACAGAATCATATTTATTAAAGCAGTATTTTGTGAGGAGACCAAAGAATGCATCAAAAGAGGCCTGCCAAAATTCTCTGTTAGAAATGCCACAGTTGGTAGCAGCATGAGGGTTTGTCAGGAGCTCAGTTGCCCTCTCAAGAACAGATTTGAGAACGACAGATGCCCCATCTCTATTGGGGCTTCCAATGGGGCGCAGAGGAGGATGCTCAGCTGAACAAACCACGGATGCAAGGCAGGAAGCAAGAGCTCTAAGCTCCATACTGTGGACACAAGATGACACTACTCTTGCAAGGTTGATCATCGGTTCAGAAGCTCTAGGATCATCATGAAGGCCACCAAACAAGAATCTCAAATGACGAAAAATGGCCATGCAAACTACTCGAGTGAGTTCATCAACCGGAGAAAGAAGTTGAAGATACCTTGATAGGAACTTCCGGCCCTTAGGAAGAGAAACTAACCTTAAGAAGTCAAGATCATCTTCAGGAGCCAAATCCACTGCGTGGCCATTTTTTCCAAGAGGATCAATAAGCTGAAGCGATGATGCCAAACCTTCTAACAGGATGTGCCTCCTTTGCCTTAACTGGGCCCCACCATCTTGGAGCTGATTAAATTGTAGGAATCTATCAATATCATCAACAGCAAGGAGGAGGGAAATGCCATCCTCAATGGTCACTCTAGCCGCAAGCATTGGCTCCTGTTCCAAAGGCTTCTCAAACAATTCAGCATTACCACTGCCGGGTAAATTTGGGGAATCAACTTCAAGAAGTGGACGGGGCCTGCGAATTGAAGAGAAGGAAAGCCTCCCAAGAGCATCAATCTGGAGAAATGCATGTGGCTCATTGTTAGAACGAGCCCTGGAAAAATTATCACGCAGATTAGTTGGGCAGAAATGGTGTTTCAACTTTGCACCAGAAGATTTTTTGGCCAGACAAGCTTGATGGTAATAATCATCAATATAAGGATCATCACTATGAGTAACAGCAAGCTGCATTCTCACAATGTTTTCAATTTCGTCGGCTGTCATGTACTTGGAATTGAATTTTGGCCACCTGCTATCACTCTTTTGGTTACCGGATTCGAAACCATGTTGAGAATATCGCATACCCTGTCTACTTCTCAGCATTGAAATAGCCCTTGCATCTCTCAAATCAGCTAATCCAAGCATCTCAGAGTTTTTTATCAAAGGTGGTGATGCAGAAATTTGAGGATTGTGAAGTTGAGGCTGCAGCCCCGATAGATGGCCAAAGGATGGCTGAAACGGATGCTGAACTCTGTGTGGCTGGGAGTGCAGCTGTGGAGGCATTAAACCCTTTTGATGGGGTAGCTGCTGTTGCTGCAAAATGTTGTTTGGAAGGCCAGGATGCTCTACAGGATATAAACTAGGTTGGTTCCCCCACTGGTTCTGGAGTCGACTATTAACTGGCAGGCCATGAGTTACCTGAGGCATATTTCCTCCATACAGTGGCCCGTGAGGAAAGGCATTCATATGAAGCTGAGGATTAGAGAAAGAAGAAATATTGGGCGAAGCAGCTGCCATTTGGTGCCCACCTGGGCGATATGCAAGATTCGGGTGGCTAGATTGACTACTTCCTGAAGCCTGCTGTGATCTGCCATCTGTGGGAGGATATGAAGTGAATGGCATCTTCGGAACAAGATTCGCTTCAATAGAATAGTGATGTCGTAGGAGTTGCTGTTGATGCTCATACGGGAGCTGATGCTGTGGTTCAGGGTGTGAAGATGTTCTGTACAAAGATTTGGATTCCATGAAGCGGTTAGAGGAAGAATATGGCTGTGATGACCATCTTTTGCTTTCCTCAGTGCTTGCAGCATCAAAAGCATGGTGATCAAACCAAATCGGAAAACTGGACTCTTGTGCCCATTCAGTAGCAGATGAACCTGAATTTTGATAACATGAGGAAAAATTGACAATCTTGATAGACCAACTAAACCAAATATCTACTCTTGATTCATATGTCAGATGCTAACGTTTGACTTTTCTCCAACAAATATGAAATTTTCCAAATTTGTTTCATTGAATTCACTTGCATTTAAAGATGGCACGGACTAACACAGTTGAAAATTTTGCAATATGTTATTTCTAAACTAACATGGCGTAGCACTTTGGAGAAAAGAAGAGCTGGCCAAAAGGCAACTATATCGTGTAATGTAGATTTATAGGGTCTCGCACATTCATACAAACTGTACAGAGAATTTCATCAACCATGAGAAATGCAACTGCAGAAATTCACCCAAAGAATATTAATGCGTGACACAAAATTTGACAAAAAGGAAATAAGGAAGCAACCAAAGTTTCATGTCTCATTTGCTCACAAAGATAACTAAAGGAATATAATTAAATAACATACAGCCTGAGATTTCCCAAGGGAGATGCTCCTCATTAAGAAGCACACCAGGCTTGCGCTGCTGAGGTTAATTTTAGTTTAGGAAGCTGTGACATAATTATAGCTTTGACACAACAAGTTTTCATAATTATATCAAGATATCCCTTGAAATTGGACTGTGGTAATTCAACGTTAAAAATCTCAGCGGATAAGTTAGAAGATAAAATTCATATTATAAATATAGACACACGAATTAATACTAATGTGAATTTTGTATGTAAGTGCGAACACAAGCAGTGTGGAATTAGAAAAACAAAAGAAACAGTCATGGAGCCTAGCAAAGTCAACTTTAGATGAGTTCATGCGAGTTTGGCTTGTATGCAGTTAAATACAGAGTAGAGCCCAATCTGACAAGCGGAGATGAGCTATATTACAAGGCTTCATTTGAGATAAGACATGCTGCAGCTGTCAAGAAATAATAGTGTCCGCCACAAAACTACAATATTAGAGAAACTGCATGATGCATGAGGATTAAGGTCAATGTATCATTGACATGCAGTCAATAGAACCTAATAATCTCAAAGAGCATGCACAACTAAATGAACAAATTAATCTTAAAGAGCATGCAAAGTATGATCCAACTCACTTCCTCTGGACCCCCCACCACCAACAACTCCTGCAATTCCTGGCCCACTGACAACTTTGTTTAACTGTATATACAAAAGAAGAGATATCAGCCCATCCATTAGATAGGCAATAATAGAACTAAGTAATTATACCACAAGTAAATCTATCCAAAAGTGTAACTAATTATGGCAAATATTAGAAAAATGGCAGCGAGTTTAATGCCAATAACACACAAAATTATTACCAATTGAAAATTATTCAGTAACAAATATAAAAGGGTAGACTTCTGCAGGGAAGTCAAACATTGGAATGTTTTTAATAGGAAAAAAAGGCTAATTCAACGAAATTGTAAGATGTTTACTCAATCCAGATCTCAAGTAGATCAAAGTGAGACATAGTTTGGAATTTCAACGTGACGAAACGCCAGATAACAAGTGATGCAAATTCAACAAATACTTTAAAAAATGATTCTCTCTTAATTACAAGCGCACAAACATATATACTATTCCACAAAACCTAAGCAAGCAAAGGAAAAGATCCTTCAGGAACCACAGGAACAAAGCAGGGATCATTGTCACCAGTCTCATTTTCGGAGCTTGATTCTCTATGTTATGGAAGTCTTTGATTGGATGGAGAAAATATATTACATGTTACAAGTAAACAAGAATAAGTTCTTTGTACAGTAGCATGAGTACATCTGTTCTAGGAAATCACATCAAATCCAAATTATTAAACAACGGATCCAGAAAGATTGAGTTTTAGAATTTTTTTTTTTTTGACAATACTTGAGATGTTAAAAGATCAAGAAGAGGAATGATCGTGAGATAAACAGGATGGTAGCAAGTCAATGCATGGATAAAAAAGAGTATCTAGGTTTTCTGCGAATTCTTGTGCCCACTTTCTCTTCGGTCTGGAGATAATATTATCAAGTGTAGAACTGTAAAAGAACTGTTATTGAGTGCAGAAGTTCTATCCTCTTTTACAATGAGACAATAACATATATTATCGAGTCCATGCAGAATTTAAAAAAAAAAAAAAATACAAAAATGAATCTCTTTATTTATTTTATAATATTCATCGAAGTATAAACCAAATCTCATCATACCAAAATAAGGATAAGATTCCTATATAGTCATCTGTATAATGCCCCATCAAGAGAGAGAAATGAACACAAGAAGGCAATGACTAAATAAATGTCGAAGACCACAATTTGAGATTCAAAACTGATTTTAATCAATGGAACTATGCCAACAATTTTTAGCATAAGTGCACACCGACCCTTGAAAATGTGTTGTCTAGATCATCAATTTCAGATAAAGATCCCATGGCTTCAACCTGAAAATAAAACACAAAAATCAAGCAATCTTAGCAATAAAATACTTGCAAAAGAAAACCATTGAGCTTTAAAAGCTTTAAAAGCAACCTCATCTCTGTCAAGTTGAAACCCTTCTTCATCAAATGCAACCGCAGGGAGATCATCCTCTTCATCTTCTAATCCCCCAAGATCAACTTTCTCAACTAGATTGTTACTGAAAAATTCATATTGTGATGCATCAAATACAGCTTCTCCTGCTCCACCAAGTGATTTGAGTTAAAAGTGGGGAACTTGTAAAATCATTTTGCAAAATCGTTAAGCAATGTAGTAATAATTCATGCACAAAAAGGAATTATGGATAATCTCATGATATGTATCGTTATAAAATTACACTTAATTTCTTGAACTCAATTTGGAAAGTGAAGTTGTCTTATAGTTTGCCATAATTTCCAAATTATTGGGAAATAAAGAATATATCCCCATGATTAAAATAAGAATTATATTGTAAACAACTTAGACAATAATTATACGTACCAATTTGGAAGCCAAAATTAACTTATAAGTTGGGACTAGCAGCATCGTTGGCTAAGCTCAAAGTAACTTAAAAGTTTGTTTTAAGTAATTTTTAACATCCAAACATGTTTATATGGGTTCTTATGTTCTTTCTTGTAGATTAAAAAAGTTACTAATTTGGACAGTGAAGTAGGGATTACTTCCAAAATATTGTATTACTTTCAAAATATATTCCAGCTTTGACCAACAAAGTAATCTATTTATTTTAACTGCCTTAAGTAAATAATTTTAAGGCCTACAAAACAAGCACTAGATCGAAATACAAGATATAAAACTCAGATATCCTGTTGATTAAAATGGAAAAAGATTCCTTCCGGGAAAAGCATAACTTACTCAGCTGCTCACAATAAAGTCACATAGAACAATTAACGCAGCCAATGACAAGAATAAATAAAAATAAAACTTACACACATTAGATATCAATAATAATGAGGAGCTGACTGTTATGTAATTAATTTATTTCTAGAAACAAATGGATCGACTAAGGATATTTGCAGACCTTTTTCCCAGTAAACAGAATAAGCAGAGCTAAAGGAAACCATTAGAAAATGAAGTCAACAAGCCGAGAATTGACAAGAAGCAAATCCATCAAGAGTGAGCTCAAGCATAAAAGAAAATCTCACACGATATAACAAACCTGTTGGATTTGCACCAAATGGTTTACGATCCTGAAGATTGGCGGACTCTTCATTACTGCCCTCATCTCCAAATCTATCCATTTGAGAACCTTCTGCTCGAAAAATACTTTAAACCAGAAACGTCTCCACTCTCAATACAACAAGGATAGTTCTTGGTTAATAAAGTTAGTCCATATTTAAAAAATAAAACCAGATATCAAAATTTCAGATTTTTATAAATCTCTGAAATTTGGAAAGAAGACCTAAAATTACAAAAACCTGAATAAGAAATGAAATTGAAAGAGCTAACTACAACTGAAAAGAGACTAATCAATTAATAACAAAAACATTATAGGGTTTCAAAGATCTGTACATTTAAATTGGGTGCAGAAAATTGCAAAGCCCTTTATTCCTAAATTCGAATCTACAAACTTTTATTTCTAGAGAGAGATGAGTGGTAGCTGCGTCAGTGTAATATATGAATGGCACTGGCGTTTCTTGATTAAGGTGGTGGGGAGAGTGGGAAGGGTATGCCTTCTTCCTGTGGACAGAGGCAAACTAAAAAGGTGGACGGAAAGATTTATATACTGCGAAAGGAAGGGTCCCACAGTTATAATTTAAACACCGGAAAAATAGGCTAATTTGCACAAATAGTCCCCAATTTAATGCACTAGTGCAAAACAAGAACCTAACATTCATTCTTGGCATTAGAGGTAGACAAAATAACCGAACTAAACCAGAATCAAATCAAATCGAGCGATTCGGTTCGATTCTATATAAAAAAAAAAAAATTAATGGTTCTAATTCATAGAAATGAGAACCACTTGGTTATGGTTTTGGTTCGATTCTAGTTCTAAAACCAAGAACCAAAGTCAATATTTAATATAGTATTGTTGTTTTTGTTATTACAAATTAGTGAATCGCAATCTAAACAAAAAAAAAAAAATTCACAATTCAACTGCAAATCGTGACAAAAAGGTCATGTACATTCAATTTCTCAATGTGAATATTGGGGACCCCAATTCATTTTAGAGGTCTAATCCAAATTCATTTCTCATTCTCTTTCATTTTCAATATATATATCTACTCTCGTATGGAGACCAACAATTATTGCCTACCGTCTCGCTTAGCCACCACCATCCTCAAATTTATGAAATTGAAGCAACAACCTCCGATTCTTCTTCCTTAAATGTTCTTTCTATTTTTTTCTCAATCAGCAGTGGAGTTAGAACCAATCAAACCAGAACCGAAGAGTTTGGTACCGATTTGGTTCCTCATCTTAAAAAAAAATCATTTTATTCTATTATAAAAAAATAAAAAATCATTGGTTAATGGTTCAGTTCGATTTGGTTCTCTAGAACCAAAACAAAATGGAATCATCTCCACCCCTACTTGACACGACTATCCTCAAATAAAGGTTTTGGTGAAAAGCCGACTTTTTATCAAAAACACTAGCATATATTTTAATTTAATTTAAATATAATATTAAATAATAACGTCAAAAAGGTGCTAATTCTGTTTGAGTCAAATTATCGTAGAATGAGAATGAAAAATATAATCGTTATTGGGATCCATATAATAGATAGAAAATTTGAATTTAACTGTTGATGTGATGAATAGAGGTCATATTTTTCATTTTAACGAGATAATAATATAGATTAGACGGGGAAATATTAATTTTGGATTTAAATATAAAATAAAAATTATTTATTGAAGAATGCCAATATATCTATAGATTGCCGCTGCAAAGATTAGGAGCCACCACATTATAATCAAATCGAAGTGAGAGTCGGCGTAAAGAGAGCATTAATGGCGAGAATAATATGCTCAAACCTTATTCCTTCAATTTCATCACTACCACTGAAGCCTTCACTCCGGTTCCAATGGCCAAATCTTTCAAATTCTTCGCATTCGATGCTTTTCGTGAACAGGCGATTTTCGGCAGCGAAGATAAGCATGAGCTTGAAAGCCGGCATCGTCGGCCTCCCCAATGTCGGAAAATCCACTCTATTTAATGCCGTCGTATGTCTCTTTTCTGATTCTCGATCAATTAAATTAACTATAGGCTTTTTTCTTTCCTTTTCGTGCTTGTTCATGTAGGAGTAACTTTTAGCTGGAAGTGTATTTTTATTGTACTGAGATATTTAGTATATAAAGTTTCAATTCTCTAAAATACTTACTTTTCTTCTTTTTAGTTGAATTAAATTATGTTGTTTGTCTGTACAAGTATTTGTAGGATAATGAGAATTTTGTTTATTAGGAAATAAGAAGTAACTGCAGCAATGTTCTTGAACTATTTTCTCTTTTTAGGTGCAGCATATTTGTTGGCAATTATGGAATGTATGCTGCTATTACAGAATCCCTCTCAAATTAAGCAAAAGTTTTTTGTTGGACTTTTTACTCTTACCTGCAAGAACGGTTATATTCTCTCAAGCTTTTATATTTTTTCAGATCTGACTGTATTTCTTTTACAGGTTGAGAATGGAAAAGCTCAAGCTGCAAATTTTCCTTTCTGTACGATAGAACCAAATGTAGGAATTGTATCTGTTCCTGATCTGCGTCTTAACGTACTTTCTGAACTCAGTAAATCACAACGAGCAGTCCCAGCATCCATAGAGTTTGTTGATATTGCAGGGCTTGTAAAAGGAGCTAATCAAGGAGAGGTATATTGCTTTCACACGTCTTCTTGGCTGAACTTTGTCCTGCTAATCAAATATCACTTCTGCATTTTCCTCTGATTTGTTGCTTTTAGCTGTTGATTTGGTTTAGTATTTGATTGAAGAATAAGATATCTTATGCATCCGAAGTATCTGATTGTAGGGTTTGGGTAATAAATTCTTATCCCACATTCGAGAAGTAGACTCCATACTTCAGGTACTGCCCATCTTAATCGTATTAGGTTTCGTCTCTAAATTTGTTCGATTTATCAAGAACTATTAAGAGCTGCAAAATATAGAGGCATTTCCTTTCATTGTTTTCTCTGTTGCCTTTATTTGTGGACTTCCTACTAAGAGGTGGAATGGAATGTGGCGGTGCATCGGGAAAACTATAAATGAAACTGGCTTTGTATTTAGTCATTACAAATCTATCTCGTCTCAATAGATCCTAATTTAGCTGCTGCAAAACACATCTGAACCTCATGTCTTCATGATGGTGAAGAAACATGCAGGGTAGACTGTAACATTAACAAAAAAACAAGATTCTTAAACATTTAGTATTGTCTTTCCACAGAGCTGTCTTTTGACTTCACTGTTCAAACTTTGTGTTGCACTCCAGTTTCAAATTCATAGCTGCATTCTTGGACAAGCAGTTGCCTAGACATGCTGGTTTTCTTTATTCCAACTCAAGAATCCCACTTGATTCTCTTAATTGGCTATCTAGGCGAGTTGTCCTCTTTCTCTTTATTTTCTTTTGCTAATAAAATTACTCCAAGGAAAGCGAATGAAGAAGATGATTAGAGTTTATATTACTATTAAGACTACAACTAATGTATGAGGGGTCTGGCACAAATTTTGAGCAATTGGAAAATTGCTCAGAAAAATTGTTTTTATATTTTCCGTAAAATTTCTTTAGGAATTATTCACATTCTATTCCTTGCTTCCTACACTTATCATTATCTTATTCAGGTTGTGCGCTGTTTTGAAGATAATGATATTGTTCATGTGAACGGAAAAGTTGATCCAAAATCTGACATCGATGTTATCAATTTGGAGTTAGTCTTCTCAGATTTAGATCAGGTACGTTATCAAGTTGCTATACTGCAATTGCCATTCCCTCAAGACGTGATAGGTTGGCTATTGACAGTCCTCATGAAAGTAGGGTTATTCATATATGTACTTTTAGAAATATAGTTATCTCTTTACACGTGACTATAGTTATAACAAGCATGACTCTAACATCTCAACTGACATTATTTTCAGAAGCAATGTTGTGTTTGAGCACAAATTCAATGAATACAGGAAACTAGGGCATGACTTATTGTAACAGTATATATTTTTTTCAACTCCCAACCTTCTTGAAAAGGTATTTCTTTTAAGTGTAGAAATATTCCAGATTACATAAAAATAGATAGACAAATCTTAGAATTCAAATTTGTAAAATCTGAAATTCCCCGAGTCCTGATTCAGTTACCAGAGGTTCGAAGTATATTTCTCGATTTGTTCCAATTCTAACTACATTAGCCTTGTAAAATGAATTTGCAGGTTAAAATCATTTTCAGGGATTGGAGAGTTGAAAAAAGCTATTGGTAAAACACGGATTATGTGGAAAACATAGATTCCGACTAACACTCTTTTTGATCATTCTCTTTTGAAACAACAGAACATATGTAGTGCCCTAATACTGTTTTATACCAACCAGATATTTCAGGATCCTTCTCTTATACTCTTAACTTAGTCATTCTCTTCTTCCCGTGAATAACACATGAATACCTAAATACTTGGATCAATTTTAACATGTGTTCAGAATTGGTTTCTTATCAAGAAATCAAATAACTCGAGACTGCACATGATGTAGGAATGTTCAACTAGAAATGAATTACAACTAGTTTTAGCTCTTCATTCAAATTCCACTGCTACACTGGGGCATCAGATGATGCAAAACAAATGGATAGCGAGTCGTCAAGTTTATGAAAGAATGTGCAAGCTCTTTCACTTCTGAATATAGCCATCACCTGTAGGAGTGTCAAAGGGCCTGGGTTTCCTATCAGGCCAGCCCGTAAAAGCCCATTTTGGACTTGGACCAGGCCCCATATTTATAGTGCAGTTTGAGCCCCATTTTTCACAAAAAATGGGTTTTGTAATAGTTATTTTTTTGGAGATTGTGTGGTTAGAAAGTGGGAAAAAGTTTCATGTTTACATGTAAATTATTTTATTGAATAATGTGTGGTTCAAAATGAGTTTGAGAAAAAAATGAGTTTTTAGATAATGAAGCTTAACTAGAGGCTATAATATGTCATCATATATTTTATGTATAACATGAAATTATTATTTTCGAAAAAATGGATTTTGAAATAAAAAAATTATATAGGTCTGGCAGCTGGTCTGGTTCAACCATTTATTAATAGGGCCTAAGGGCTGGAACATTTTGAAAGAGGGCCATTTCAAGGGTCATATCCTGGCTCAATTGATGGGGCCCGAGGCCGAACAGGGCCTGAGTGTCACAGGTCGAGCTGGCACGGTTTGGCCCATTGACATCCCTAATCACATGCATGAACAATAAGATAAACTGATGTAAAATACTCAAGAAACAGTAAGTTCCTTAAGAGTCAAGAACGTAACTGAATTCAGAATTTTTGCCCTTTGAATTGCCTTACTGGGTCATCTGGAATTATCAAACGATACATCGTGTAGAGTCATGACCATAACTTTCTGAAGACTTGCCATTTCCTCTCCCTGCTTTATCTATTTTTCTTTCTTTTTTCTACAAGCCTATCTTGGCTGTAGGCTATTAGACAAGATGAACTGATTGGACTAATTTGTGGCCACTTCAAGAATGCAGGTTGAGAAGAGACTGGAGAAACTGAAGAAAGGCAAAGCTAAAGATTCACAATCCAAAATGAAGGTGGAACTACTCTTGCTCCTCCTACAGTTTTCATTCTGTTCATCATTTATTAGTTTTTAACGGAAAAAGAAGAAGCAAGGATTAATTCTGGGAATTTTTGTTGGAATATGCTTGATTACAGGAAGAAGCAGAGAAGTCTGCTCTGGAAAATATCCTACAGGCACTGATGGATGGAAAACCAGCACGATCTGTATCTTTGACTGATTTTCAGAAGGATGCTGTAAAGCATCTTTGTTTACTTACAATGAAACCTGTCATATATGTAGCAAATGTGGCAGAATCTGATCTAGCTGAGCCTGAAAGCAATTCTCATGTCAAAGAAGTCATGAACCTTGCTTCTGAGTTACAATCTGGACTAGTAACTGTCTCAGCACAGGTCTGCTATTACCTTGTGGCATAAATATTGTCACATTACATTCAAAGCACTCAAGTTACTTTTCGTAGAGTTTGGAGGTTCCATTCACTTTTCTCAGCACATTTATCCGTTGTTCACGTCCTTTTGGTTATTTATAGCAGTTCAACTATACTTGGAATCTGTTTGCTGTAGGTTGAAGCAGAACTGACTGAACTTCCACCAGAAGAAAGGATAGAATATTTGAAGTCTCTTGGTGTCGATGAAAGTGGACTGGGAAATCTTATTAGGGAAACATATGGGCTTCTGGGACTGAGAACATATTTTACTTCTGGAGAGAAGGTGAACTAAATGCTGAACTGTTTTCTGAGTGATGAATGTTACGAGTTACTCGCATTTAGTTAATTAACCTTTCTATTCATTCTTCTTCTAGGAAACAAAAGCCTGGACCATACAGGCAGGTAAGCACCATTATGCTTGAAGTTTGCTATATTTCACTCTGTGGATTGTCTTCGTAGATACTGTAGCTAGACTCACTCTAAATTTGCATACAAGAGTATTTTATTTTGGTCAGGCAGATCTTGTGTACTGCTCTATCACTTGTATTTTGTAGTTTTGGGATTATACGATAATCAGATAAGTTACATACTATACTACTTCGTTTAAGCATATTAACCAAAATACTCATCTTTTATGTCTATAGGAATGACTGCACCTCAAGCAGCGGGGGTTATACACTCTGATTTTGAGAGGGGATTCATTCGAGCAGAGACGGTGCGCATTACTGTTAAAAATACTGAATCTCTCTCAGCAATTTTCTAGTTATTGAGTTTTGTGAAGGAGCTAGCTTTAACATGTAGACAGTTGATTAAACTCCTTTGATGCAGTTTCAACAAATATAGACGTTCACACTTTTCACCCCGTCAGAATAAGTGACATCCTGAAAGAAATAGTCATTTTCACTGAAAATGTACATGCATTGACGTTACAAGACAGTGGATTCTCGTTATTTTTGTCCAAGAAGTGATAACTTTTGAAATTTAGCCATTCAAATTTTCAAATATAAAGCAAATGGAATTTTTTTCTTTGTTTTTGGTTTTTTCCCAAATAAGATTGAAGAGGTTTATTCGCTTCTGAGCACTTCCATTGGAATTATCTGGAAAGAATGTCTCTTTCTCTAGTTTCTGCATGTTTCTGTACTAGTAATAATTTTCCTGAAAACTTTACGGCTATAATGGACATGTTTCAATCCACATGTTTTGTCAGGTTGCTTATGATGATTTTGTTGCTGCTCGTTCATTTGCCACTGCAAGGGAGAAGGGACTTGTAAGCTGATTTCTTGTTTTCATTATTGATCTCTTGTTAGCCAACCCCCATTTTCTACTACAACGAATCAGCAATATTTTTTTTTTCTCGAGTATCATGTAATCTTTGAATCTCTTAAGCTATTACTTTGTTTAGGCATCCACCATACTCCCCTCCTGACTGATAGGGAAGTATTTTGGAGATTTTAACATACTATGTGTGTTTATTTCTTTAATTTTTCTCATCTTGTTAATAGTTGTCACTCACCTGGGCTACCTTCCCCATTTTTATTGTTTGTATTATGTTTTTTCACGGAACCTACTTTATAAGCCTAGATTTTTTCTGTTCTAAATCAAATGAAGATGTTCTAGGAAAAATGCTAGGAACGAAGATCTGGATATGCTTGTATTCACATGAAAAGTGTTCTTTACCCTCGTAGACACTCTTTTCTTATTCTTTGTGGAGTGTTATGTTGTTTTGCTTTCTGATGACTACAATGAAGCGATTCACATGATTTAACTTGCGTGCAGTTGAGATCGGAGGGAAAAGATTATGTCGTACGAGAAGGGGATGTGATGCTATTCCGGTTTAATGTATAACTGGAATATCCTCGACAGTGGAGTGCCTTATTAGTTATACAATCAAGTTAGGTAGAATTCAAAAGTATTGCCAGTTTCACATGAAGACGATAAATCTCTCGACGAGGCTATTTTTTCACGGAATAGAAATCACAATTTTTGCTTGTTCATTGAGAATCCCTCTATTCATGGGACTCCTGTCAAATGCTTCCCATACATGTAATTTGTTTCATATATTATTGAATTAGTTTTCTGTTTTTTTGATGTGGAAAAGGCTGTCCTATACAACTCATCTGTTCTGTGTGAGAAGAAGGGGAAAAGTTCCTATTTATAGATTTTGATGTGTTAACAATGTTTCCATAGGGAAATTCTGGAATTAAGGCTTTTTTGGGATTTTTTTTTTTTTTTTGTTAAAACTATAAGTTGGTAGAAATGAGTAGTAAATAAATATGTGGTTAAAATTGATTTTTAACTTTGAAAATGAATTTTTTAACCAATAAATAAATAAATAAATCTGTACAAAGGCTGAGCATCACTAACATTTTTTCCTTTTTCATTTGATGTTTTCTTTTGAAGTTTATTAACTGAAGATGAGTTGAACTTCAAAATCAAAACTAAGGTGCTCTCAATTATTTACGAATTTGCATTGTTTTCAAGTGCATGGTTGGTATAGTTTAAAAGGTTGCTACAAAAGTCAACATTGTAGCCCTTGCTCATTCTCCGTGCGCCCTTGCTATTGGTCGCTTAGGTACGATGTCCATTTTTCTCATATCGAACATATGTTTCTAAATATTCCAATGTAGAATTATAATTAATTTTAATCAAACATTTTAATTAGATTCACAATTTTGATTAATTTTAACTATATATTTTATCAAAACTTTTGTCGACAACCTTTGAATCAAAATCCTTTGTGGTCACTACACGTGGATTTTTTTTTGTAGTTGATGGGACATATGGCTTTCATGCAATCCAATAAACCTTCCACTAAGCCACTTAGCGGCGGTATTGCTGTAGCAAAACCATGGGAGCAAGCTGGAAAGCGTGATTTGAACGGTGGTAAAGTGGCCCACAATACCTACAATCCACCATTTTCGTGCAACTTGCCACCAGCAAAATGCACTCTCATCCTCATATCCACTCTGTAAACACGCCCCAAAACCAGAAAAAATCCAGCAAGGAAAAATAGTAGCAGACCGAGGCAAAGGTAGGGCAAAATTAAGATTTTGATCATGTTTAGCTTTGGGTTTGAGCGCCTTAAGGTTGTTCCTACCCTAATGCTTGGGATTATACATCTAATTGTGGCTCAAAGATCAAGTAAAGAAGCTGAATTTTCAGAAAAATGAACACGGTGCAATGTGCACAAGTTTCTGACACCACGTTTGATTCACGTTCTTACAAAAATTCATTTTTAATCACACATTTTTTAATAAAATAATATTATATGTAAATTCAAAATTTTTCCTTATTTTATAACTACGTATTTTCCATCAAATCATTATTTAAAATGCATTTTCCACTTAATAATGTACATCAAACATGGTCTGAAATTGTGGGTACTGTACCCTAAATCCGTAGATTTGTACAAGTTGTACTTTTATATTATGGATAATTGCAACAAAAACTTCAAATCTTTGAAACATTAGCATATTTTTTTCAAACATTTGATTTGTTGCAGTCGTCACTCTTTACATTTTCAAATGTTGTAGGCGATGTCCTTTTTTTGACAATTTTCATCAGTGACCAAAAATGCGATTTTGACTACATTTTTAATATTTTAAGGGGGGCAGGGGGACGACTTTCCATTTATATCACATTAAATAATAAAATAAAAAACACACACACAACGGCGTCTTCCTCGTCTCAACTGATCAACCCGCTCCCACCCCCACTTCAAATCCAAAATCCACATCGACCACCTCCACCTCCATGTTTCTGCTTCCATTTGCATGTAATTTCAATTTGTTTGTTGGATTGAGCATTTGATTGATATTTTGTGAAATTCGTATCAATCACTCATATTATTGTTTTTGTTTTTTATCAGATTGGGATGGCAAAGGAACAGAAATGGCATGAACCTGTCGGAGGACACTGACTATGTGCAAATAATTATGGCTTTTTTGGTAGCTCTACAACGCTAAATATGTGTCCAAAGTGTTACAAAGATTATTGCATCAAGGAAGGAGAAATGAGAGGCGCCAAAATCGCCATGGAAAAAACGCTAAATCAATCGAAATCTTCTTCGTTTTCACGCCCAGAATATGTTAATTCTATAATTAACCCATACATAACACATGAGACGGTTCCGATTTCCGTGGAAATTGAAAAACCCGACACTGCTGCGGTCGTGCCACTGCCGCAACAACAAACTAAACCTAACATGTGTGCAGCTTGCCGGAGGCGTGTGGGACTGACGAGATTCAAGTGCAAGTGTGGGGTCATGTTCTGTGGATCCCATAGGTATCAGACAGTGGAGTGGACATCTGTATGGAGGTGGACGTGACGGTGGTCGGTGTGGATTTTGGGTTTGAGGTAGGGGGTCGGTGAAGGTTGAGAGGAAGAGGATACGAGTGTGTGTTTTTTTTTTTAATTATTTAATGTGATAAATGAAATGTGAATTTTTTGCTCATTTTTAAAATATTAAAAATGTGGTCAAAGTTTAATTTTTGGTGAATCGACAGAATTATGGATGTAAATTATTAAAAAGGGCTTCATTTGCAACATTTGAAAATGTTAGGGGGTGACGGAGGTAACAAAACAAATATTTGAAAAAAGTCTGCTAATAATTCAAAAGTTTGGGACTTTTGCTACAATTATCCCTTAATATTATTTACAAAAAGTGTGTGACGTCTCTATGCGAGAAAGGGTATCATAAAGTAATAGAAGATTGACACATGGTCTCTACATGTTTGAGAAGATGTGCAAGTACATAAGACGCTATATTGCACGTGACATGTCGTACAAGCGTGCATATGTATATATATAGCTTTTGGCTCAGACCTTAGCTAGTCGAAACGGCTTTTTTCTTTTCTTTTTATTCTTGATAAATCTATTTTTTTTAAAAAAAATTAATTTGTACAATTTATACGAATTATAAATTAAATAAAAGTTACAACTCTCCTCTTTTTTTGGGTTTGTGGCATGCTACAATCAATGTAGACAGAGTTAAAATTATATACGAATAAAATATTTCGTGTAAAATTTCTCTTGAAACAAATAAATTTAAAAATTATGTATTTTTTTTAAATCGATTAATTTAAAAACTTACAATATCATATCATTGAATCTGCTGCAACTTTTCAGCTATTGTACTGTCAATTTATCCTTGAATACGTAATTCTACGCACTCTCAATCCTTCAAGCATATTAAAGCCTCCAATCTATTTTCTTTTAGTATTGATTATTCGTCTGATAAAACTCGACCACCTAAACTAAATACAGCATTCGATGCTACCGTAGACACTGATGTTAGTAGATTTCGATATAATTAGATATTATCTTTCGTTACACCTCCAACATGATAGAAGACTAAATTCCTATAATTCTTTTAGTTATAACACACTAAAAACGTCCACGCACATATACTTAGCTAACTCAAAGAGAATTCAATATTTGTACCATTAACATCCATCACTCTAAATATTGATGAACTAGAACTAAATGAAGAAACACTTTTATTGGTGTCCAAATAATTCTATATATCATCTGAATTTGTTGAAATATTTCTTGAAAAATAACTTTGGGAAGTAGAGCTGCCCTACTTTCTTTTTTAGCGTAATAGTTATACACTTTACATAACATAGATTTTATATGCATATATGATAATTCCACATTCATGGAATTTGAAATCCCTTTTATAATAGTTTTTGTATAAGTTAAATTAAGTTGATGGTCCATCATCGAAGCTAAAATAAATAAAGATGGCAACTCTTCTTAATATTTACGAAATTTTAACTCCATAAAATAAACTACATCAACAAAAATTGATAAATTCCTATATTTATAAAATGTTTGTGAAATATAGAAAAATAATTGTAAAATAAGTGAAAATGTATGATAATAAACATTGCTACATTCATTCGTGATATCGAAAAAAGGATTTAATAATTTTTTCACACAAAATGCAAAAAACAATTCTCAATCTTGCAAATTATGTTTGGATCCATATGTATACATACTATTATAATATAGTGAAATAACTTTATCATAATTTTCACACGTAACATAAGATATGTAGAGTTTTATCTATGTGTTACATTAGTGACAAATGATTTCTTGTGTAAACCAAACTCTGCACACAAACTGTTAAATGTTTGCTTTCTTGCTGGTAACACATTAATAAAATTTATTGCTTGTCTAATTTCATTTAAAGGCAATCTTATATGTTCTAATTTATTTTTTACAATCAATTTGATAATATGTCATACATAACGCTGATGAAAAAATAAACTTCCAAATATAGGGTTAATATAATTAATAAATTTTTCGATAACAACTTTATTCACATTAGCATTATCAAAATAAAAATTCGAACCATTTCATGTATACCATATTCTTATATAATATCTTTTAAAATCATGTATATGTTAGTGACATTATGATGATATTCTACACATCTGAATGAAATAAACATTTTATGTAGAAGGCGTACGTGATCGATGTAATGAGCCGTGGAGCAATATAATATTTTTTTATTACCACCGATCCATAAATCAGAAGTAAACGATATAACACTATTGAAAGTTTTTAGACTTATCATCTTCTTTTCTTTTGTTATATAATTTTATAGTATTTGAACAAAAAATATTTCTACAATAAAAAGTATACCTGGGTTGGAGATAATTCTGCACGAGCCGGATAAAGTGTATTGAGTCTATTATTGTAAGCGACATCTATGTTGTAGTCACATATGTAGTCATTTCTTCACGAAAATTTTCCTACAAATATACAAAAGTGGAAAGAGTAGAACCATAACTGCTAAACACTAGTTTTGTCTGTTTCGGGTCCAGATCGACTGATTTCGCTTTGCAATTCCTTAATATGTGCTTATTCAAATGCTTTGTGTTTGAATTGGGCTTCCAACTAAGTTCTTTACAACAGTTATTGCAACATACTTTCAAATGTCAACTCCATTTTGAACATCAACTTTTTTACATATCATATGTGCCAACAATCTAAGAATTCTTTTTTCGATCTTTTAGTCGCGAGTACTTCTTCTTTAATATTCTCCAAATCAATTGGAATATTTTGAGATGTATCATAGTCGGATGAAGTACTCAAACTACCTTTAAACTGATTAATCACATCACTAGTAAAATCTATTTATAGCTATTATAGCAAAAGATACTGATTATTAGAATAAAACGAATTAAATATTAGAACAAAGAAATTGGAACTAGAATATTGCAAGTTTATGATGATTGAAGTAAATTGATATGAAAATAAAAAATTTATCGAATATTTATAGCAAAAAAATACGTTGGTTTTAATTTGAAATATGATGTACACAAGTTACACGTAGCATATTGCTGCCTGCTGCAATAGCAGCATTGCAGGCAGCAAAATTGCCTTTATTGTGCTGCCTTTGACAAGGCTGCTTGTCTTTCTTATTTTTTTCAATTTTTTTTTTAAAGTTTCGTAGGTTATTATTATTTTTAGACTCAACTCGGATCGTCACGGCAAAAAATGGTTGTGACATGGGGTCGGCCCGTGTGGCTGTCGAGCCATACGGGCTAGCTCGAGCTACTAGCCAACCCGACTTGGAATTTTCTCGGACCGAGCCACGGATTGTCCGAACCTACGAGCCACATTGACATCCCTAATTAAAACCTTGAAATAGATTTGTACACCACATAATGAAGCTTCAAGTGCTGTGTGATCTCTCAATAGTTTTGAGCCTTTGACCATTTCGAATACTATTATAAAATAATGACCAATGCGTTAGAGAAAAACCTTTCATGAACAATTGAAATAAACATTTTATGTAGAAGGCATATGTGATCGATGTAATGAGCTGTGGAGCAATATAACATTTTTTTATTGCCACCAATCCATAAATCAGAAGTAAACGATATAACACTATTAAAAGTTTTTAGACTTAGCATCTTGTTTTCTTTTGTTATATAATTTTATAGTATCTGAACGAAAAATATTTCTACAATAAGAAGTATACCTGGGTTGGAGATAATTCTGCACGAGCCGGATAAAGTGTATTGTGTCTATTATTATAAGCGACATCTATGTTGTAGTCACGTATGTAGTCATTCCTTCACGAAAATTTTCCTATATACAAAAGTGGAAAGAGTAGAACCAGAACTGCTAAACACTAGTTTTGTTTGTTTCGGGTCCAGATCGACTGATTTCGCTTTGCAATTCCTTAATATGTGCCTATTCAAATGCGTTGTGTTTGAATTGAGCTTCCAACTAAGTTCTTTACCACAGTTATTGCAACATACTTTCAAATGTCAACTCCATTTTGAACATCAACTTTTTTACATATCATATGTGCCAAAAATCTAAGAATTCTTTTTTCGATCTTTTAGTCACGAGTACTTCTTCTTTAATATCCTCCAAATCAATTGGAATATTTTGAGATGTATCGTAGTCGGATGAAATACTCAAACTACCTTTAAACTGATTAATCTCATCACTAGTAAAATCTATTTATAGCTATTATAGCGAAAGATACTGATTATTAGAATAAAACGAATTAAATATTAGAACAAAGAAATTGGAATTAGAATACTGCAAATTTATAATGATTGAAGTAAATTGATATGAAAATAAAAATTTTATCGAATATTTATAGCAAAAAAATATGTTCGTTTTAATTTGAAATATGATGTACACAAAACAAGTTACACGTAGCATATTGCTGCCTGCTGCAATAGCACCATTGCAGGCAGCACAATTGCCTTTATTGTGCTGCCTTTGACAAGGCTGCTTGTCTTTTTTATTTTTTTCAATTTTTTTTTAAAGTTTCGTAGGTTATTATTATTTTTAGACTCAACTCGGATCGTCACGGCAAAAAATGGTTGTGACATGGGGTCGGCCCATGTGGCTGTCGAGCATACGGGCTGGCTCGTGCTACTAGCCAACCCGACTTGGAATTTTCTCGGACCGAGCCATGGATTGTCCAAACCTACGAGCCACATTGACATCCATAATTAAAACCTTGAAATAGATTTGTACACCACATAATGAAGCTTCAAGTGCTGTGTGATCTCTCAATAGTTTTGAGCCTTTGACCATTTCGAATACTATTATAAAATAATGACCAATGCGTTAGAGAAAGGAGAGGCACTACACTTACAGTCATTNTAGATTTGTACACCACATAATGAAGCTTCAAGTGCTGTGTGATCTCTCAATAGTTTTGAGCCTTTGACCATTTCGAATACTATTATAAAATAATGACCAATGCGTTAGAGAAAAACCTTTCATGAACAATTGAAAGTTTACTAATAAAGAAGAAACCATAGCTCAAATCCTCGATACCTTCAAGCACATTAAACAATGTTCCCCAATAAGCATGCGTGGATTTAATTAATCTTCTACTACGAGTATGTTACTCTTCCATCTATTTACTACGCTCTGTTACTCTTCCATTAAACGAAGATAATTCACTCTCTGTTACTCTTCCATCTATCTACGTTCTTTCATCTATTTACCAATAAAAAATGGACAAGTATAATATTTTATAAATCGAAAATTAAATTAATTAAACACAATTAATTAATAATTTTCATACAAATAAATTTTAGACAATTGAATTTTTTCGAATTTATTTTCTTTCCATACTTGCAACGCACGTGTATCTTTCTCGAGAAACTGTTTTACAAGAAATAGAAACAAAAGTAAAAACGCGACGTTAATACAAATTAGTTATTCCAAATTTCCTATCAGATTGCTTGCCAAACGTTGTCGCAAGCAAAGCGTAATAACATAATTGTTTTATGTGGTCTGTTGTGCTTACAAAACAAAATCGCTAATGCCTCCAAGCAAAAGCGTTGTTGATTAATAAACCGGTAACTTTTGCTCGTGGAAGAACTGCAAACAATTGGAGGAAAGGGACTGGAGACAACTATGAGCTCCCCCTCTTCTCTGTCACTCCTCCCCACCCACCACCGCATACATCCCACTAAAAAAGCATGCTTGAAGAAGCCAAAAGTCTCTTGCTTTACTCATTTATATGGAGCTACGATGTTAATTCCTGCTAGGCCATAGGCCACTCATGGGTAGGGGTTTTTGCCGTATTCCAGGACTTCAACGATTTTGCCACGTGCTTGTAAGGTGAGCTCTTGAATTTGAAACTACTGTTTTTAATTTCTCTTCTTCTTCTTCTTCCCTTTTTTTTCTCCGTGGAATTGATTAACAAAGTCTTCTTTCTAGAACTTTTGATAGACTGAAACTTGAATTCTTAAAAAAAAAAAAAGCTTATCTTTCTTCAATTGTTTAGAGCATGATTTTGATAAGTGGGTCGTATTATATTTTTCATTCATCAAGATTGGTTGAGCAGTAACAGCAGAATCATGGTCATCCAATCTTGATCATAGGAATATATTTGTTTTCTGGGGTGTACTCATCCGTGTGCAAGTGAGTGTTCGTATACTGATTTATTTATTTGGTGTTGGGTTGTGGTTTGGGATAATGCTAAATATTCGAGGTTCACATTCTTTTGCAAGATCACTTCTTTTCGATTTTAATCGAAAAGATAAATTCGCTACCTACCTGGCTGCATCATATTAGCAGTAAATATATTTAAACTTTAATTTGATTTATTGTATGCATCAATTTCATCTTATTTATCACTTTATAATTCTTTACTATATCATTTAGCTGACATTTTTTTTTTGTTGATTAATTCTAGATTGATTCCTTTAGCTATGCTTAGGGGATCATTGTTTGATTTGCGGGGTGTTTTCAAAATATAGTTTTCTGCTGGTCGAAATTGTTGAACTAGGTCGAGGTCATTGCTAAAGCAGAATACAGTTGGTGTACTTTTGGACATGTACTCGGTGCTTATGCTACCATGTTGTGTTCCATCCTTATGTTTAAGATAGCAAGCGGTGTTCGTAATTTCTATGATGTTATTTGTTTTCTTGTTCAAGTGATATAGGTTACCTCAACTCTTTCATTAATTTTTGAGTTAGGAGGTCTATAGGACTTGTAGACACTTCACTTCAATGCTCGTCAAGAGTATTACGACTCCTCCTGCATTTTGAAGTTTAAACTAAATAGTTAATTTCTCTATCATTCTCTATCTAAACTTATAGGCTTATTCACTAATGAAAATATGTACTGCTTTACTAATTTTGAAAACACGTTTAATTGCTTTATTAACTTTGGTTTACGAGAAGAAACTTCTGCTCATAATTTACCTTTTCCACAAAATATCACTGGAATCTATGTCAGGAAGAAAACTAACTGGATAGGGTGTTTTGAGGAAACCTTTTGGGTTTCCTGTCATGCAGGAATTTGATGGTTGATAATAAGTTTATCTGCTGCAAACTAATTGATGGATCAAACAAAGTTAAATTCGAGAACTCGTTGCTCGGGCTCAACACCATCTGAGGAATCAGCTATGGACCTTGAAAAGTACTGTTGCAGTCACTCATGTCGGCCTTCATTTAGTCCACCGTCACTTCAACCCCATGCTTCTGCAGGACAACATGGCGAGAGTAGTGCTGCTTACTTTTCATGGCCTTGTCGAATAAAAGACGATGCTGAAGAGAGGGCAAATTACTTTGCTAACCTACAGAAGGGGGTTTTACCTGAGTCACTAGATGGTCAATTTCCAGAAGGTCAGCGAGCAAATACCTTACTTGAGCTCATGACCATTAGGGCATTTCATAGCAAGATCTTGCGTTGTTACAGTCTTGGCACAGCAATTGGTTTTCGGATTCAACGCGGCATTTTAACGAATATACCAGCAATACTGGTGTTTGTATCACGAAAAGTTCACAAGCAGTGGCTTAGTCCAATCCAATGTCTACCAACTGCTTTGGAGGTAACAATTAACAACAAAGACGCTCATGCTTTCCAACCATTTTTGCAAAAGTTTTATTTCTTTCCTGGTAAAACAAACCAAGTATGGGAGGGTTAATTCTGAAACATTGTCTACCTTGTTGACTTGCTATCCTACTTATTTTCTATAATACTGTTTACTACTATTTGCATGTCTTGGATTTACATGCCAAAGACAAGAACTATAAGTGCCCTCACCCAGGAGTGGGTATGGCATAGTTAGCTTGCAAATATTTTATCTTTCTGAATGAATTCTGATTCTTCCTGTATTATGCTTTAAAGTTGAAATGCTATTTACATCTTCAGGGACCAGGAGGGGTGTGGTGCGATGTGGATGTGGTGGAATTTTCATATTTTGGTGCTCCAGAGCCAACGCCCAAAGAACAGTTGTACACTGAGATTGTTGATGATCTGCGTGGGAGTGACCTACGTATTGGTTCAGGTTCTCAGGTATTTTGAAAATGTGTTGTAACCTTCCACTTCTATAATGCCACTAGAATATTACGTGCTTCTCTTAATTCAATACCTGAGGTTCTTACCATTCAAGCTAAACCATAACTCAACAGTATCTCTTGACGGTAAGGATTTTTCATCCAAATGCGACCTTGACATATTTCCAGATTGTCTGATTCATCTCCATTTCTCTCAAACTGACAAGAGTTCAAAACATGATCCATGTGCTTTTCAATATCCTTTGTCAGATTTTGGCCAAAATATGATGTGTGAAATAAAGTTTCTCTAATTTGAATAAATTAGTACTTAGGATTCCAATATCTGTAGCCATATGCTTTTATTATACTTCGATGGACCTGAATGTTAATTTCGCATGTGGAAAAGAAATGAGTACTTACCACTGGGGAATGGGGAGTTTTGCTTAATGGCCTATTAACCTAAAAATTTCTCATTGCAACATTTGGGCTCTAGGATCCATATGATTATGTCAGAATATGCTTTGAATTGTGCCTGAAAAGTACCCTCATTTTGAATCTGTGAATGTTGCAGAGTCATCTTCTTCTGACTGTATTAGCAATCTATGCTGAATCAGGGCACTATATTGTCAGAATATGCTTTGCATTGTGCTTGAAAAGTACCCTCTTCTTGAATCTGTGAATGTTGCAGTCATCTTCTTCTGACTGTATTAGCAATCTATGCTCATTTATGGCATCTTCAAGCTCTTCACTGTAGAACTCAGATTGCTTTAGAAATTCTACCAGTTTACATATTAATTTAAGTAGGTTTTCTTCTTTAACTTCTGAAAGACACATTGTTGTAAAACGGCCATATCATGAACATGCTCTAAATGAAAGATCACACACCCATTTCTTTAGGAAATTTTTAGAAATTAAACGGATTTACCTTCCACCAGATAATTCTTTACATCACCACTGTTTTTTCCCTGCAAATGTCAGGTTGCCAATCAAGAAAACTACGGCACCTTGGGTGCTATTGTGAAGAGCCAAACAGGCAATCGACAAGTTGGTTTCCTGACAAATCGACATGTTGCTGTTGATTTAGATTATCCAAATCAAAAGATGTTTCATCCTTTACCACCAACGCTTGGACCTGGTGTTTACCTTGGTGCAGTTGAAAGAGCAACTTCATTCATCAGAGATGACCTTTGGTATGGAATATTTGCTGGCATAAATCCAGGTCAGTTTTCAGTATATTTGGGTTTAAGATCAAGAAGCAGGTAGTGCCAAATACCGGCATTCTATCAAGGAAATAATCAATAGTTGAATTAAATGTACTTTTTACCCTTCGACGTCAATCCAATATCTGACAATTTTGAATATTGTTTTTTACCATTTTGCCTCTTCTTTCTCCCTCTTGAATGTCTGTCCCGATACGTGGCCTTTCGAGTTGAGAGCCAAATCAACTAAATATTATATTTATGGAGTGATTGTAATCTCCTGATATTTCCTTCCACTTGCAGAGACCTTTGTGAGAGCAGATGGTGCCTTTATCCCTTTCACTGACGATTTCGACATGACTGCTGTAACTACATCCGTGAAAGGGATAGGAGAGATTGGAAATGTTAAAATTATTGACTTACAATCTCCAATTGACAGTCTCATTGGAAAGCAAGTAATGAAAGTCGGAAGAAGTTCTGGTTTGACTGCGGGAACTGTATTGGCATATGCTCTTGAGTACAATGATGAGAAAGGGATATGCTTTTTGACCGATTTTCTTGTTGTTGGCGAGAACCAACAAACATTTGACCTTGAAGGAGATAGTGGAAGTCTCATCGTTTTGAAGGGTGAAAAGGGAGAAAAGCCACGTCCAATTGGGATAATCTGGGGTGGGACTGCAAATAGGGGCCGGCTTAAACTAAAAGTTGGCCAGCCTCCAGAGAACTGGACTAGTGGAGTTGATCTTGGGCGGCTGCTCAATTTCCTTGAACTCGATCTGATCACTACAAATGAAGCTCTGAAAGGTATGTAGATGTGTAAATCTTTAGACATCTTTTGCTCGATTATTTTGTATCTATGTGTTTGGCTTGTGCTCTTATGAC